GATAAAAATTAATATTTGACCAAGGAAACATTTATTTGAAACTTATATCAAATTAACTGTCTGGATTAGCATTGATATTCAATCAATTGCAATTTTTGCACAAGATTAGTTTGCATTCTTTTATATATATGAGATAAATAAAAAACGTATTTTATATTATCTACCTGATAAATATATTTTTGAAACATTTGATTGCAAAACATCATTTTACCAAGGATTATTTGTTTCTTCATCTATTTTTAGTTTTGACTCTCATCTCAACTGTTTAATGACCCTGTAGTTTCAACAACTTTTGAGCAGCTATTTGTAAATAATGTTTCCTGTGTTCTGCTCATCTATGTGTTCCCTCCAGTTAAACTAATACCCTTCTAACATCTTTAGGACTATAGCCTGTATATTACACTGTCTTACACTGACATGGATGCCCTGCATATTCATTCATGAACACAAGTTTGTATATACACTTACATAATCAAAAGAAGAAATGATAGGAGAGAGAAAAGGATGCATGCTTGAAAATAATAGAAGTTTTGGAAAAGAAAGAAAAGGAGGCAGGAAGAAAGGAAAGAAAGGACACAAAATTTGGTTCGCAATAATACCCAGTAAAAATACAATATCTTTGTTTGCTCTGGTTCTGCTTTTACAGAAAATTTAAGAAATACATATCTTTACTAAATGCTAGAAGATGTATAATTGTACTGAATCATTCTTACACTTAGATGTATAGTACTAGTCTAATCAGCTGCCCTGCAGACATGGTACATGCAGTAAAATACCATTTCTTTAATAGCTTGAATCAAGGTTAAGGAAGAATTGACTTTGAAGCATGAAATTTAACATGTATTTAAACCATGAAATGAACCCCCAAAGTATCAAGAAGTGCCTATAAATTTTATGGCCATTCAAACAGGTCTGTCACAAGTATTATGCAAAGAATTTCACCAAATAATCATAAAAATTTGCATTTTAACTTTTACACAAGGAAGCAAATGCACAAAATTGTTAAGTAAATTGGCACAATGAAGCAGTTGGGATTAGACTGACCTGAAATTAGATATCAGGCTCCTACTGTTTCTGGAATAAATTATCACAAACTTGTAAGCTTAAAATAACATGAACTTGTTCTCATATGGTTCTGGAGCTCAAAAGTCTAAAGCAAGAGTTATTCCTTTTGGGTATTTCAGGGGAATATTTTCTTTTTCTGCTGTATTTGTTGATTTTTGGCCTGGTCCTTGCATTAGTCTCCCTTTTAATCATATTTGCTATCCGAATTGGATCCTCTTGCCTCCCTCTTGTGAAGACCCTGGTGATTATATTGGGCTCCTTCATTAATTCAGGATAGTGTTGTTCATCTAAAACTCCCTAATTTAATTGCATTTACCAATTTCCTCTCATCATGTACAGTAAAATAATATGACACAAAGTTGGGATGCAAGGCAATTATTCCTACTTCTGTGATACCTTACCCAGGTTGTGGAGCCTCTGTACCCACATTGTAGAGAACTTCCTTAGGAAGCTTCACTTATCACAGCCTAACCCTGCATAAACCCTTCATAACCATTAGAAGAAATGCATACCTGCTATCTGTCTGTGCTCAATGTCTTGGTCTTTTGTAAATAAAGGAGTTTTCTTAAACAAACCTTAAAAATACCTATTATAAACTTTTTGATTGTGTGTTTTAAGCATAATAAATGATTCTTCAGTGAATAAGTCTTTGATTCTAAAGTCTATTTAAATTCTGATTCCTAAACAAGAAAGCAATTCACCCACTCTAATGACTGAATACATGTTAATATTCAAATTAGTCACCTTTTTTCCCCAGATGGAGCTCACAAAATAATGTCACTATGAGTTCAGTTCCTGGTACAAATAAAATCAGTTCATAATCGCATGCATAGAAAGTTTTCCTACTTCTGGGAAAATTCTTCCTCTTATTTTCTTTTTATTTTTTTTCCTTTTCCTTTTTTTTTTTTTTTTTTAAAAAAAAGCCTTTATACCTCATTTTATAAATTTTACTTGCCTCTCTTAATCATTATCCATTATGGATCAAAATACTCTGAATGGACCATGTATTCAATGGAATACTGTTTTCTTTTATTCCATTAGGTCCTATTAAGCTTTGAGACCCATATTTGCATCACTCTTTCATAAGATCCAGCCTGAACATGCCCAAAGCGCCTCACTGCTGCCTCCTAGATATAGGATGGAAAAATTTAATGAGTTTTGATTCTACACTCTAAAAGTGTAAAACCAGAGGAAAAGTATTCACTATAGATGTAAAGCCTATGAAGATCATTGGAAGTTATAAGATGATTATTATACAAAACATATTTTATAGTAAAAGCTAATTTTTAAAGAATTATTAAGAAGAAAATAATACTCTTTTTCTCTGGAATAGGAAACTTTTCAATAAATAAATATATATATATATATATATATATATATTTGCAGTGTTTCTTTTTACTTTTTTTTAATTTTTTTGTCTTTTTCATTTTTATCTGTACCACGGATCAAACTCATGACCGCACACTTGTTAGGCAGGTGCTCATGCTGCTGAGCTAAATCCCCAGCCCCTGTAGTGTTTCTTTATCAGTGTCTACTAAAGAACATAACTATTATTCAACTGAACTATTTTGAGAGTATTATATTTTAAACTAATTAAATGTCAATAAAATTACTTACCATATATAGAAATATAAATATATTGGAAATGTAAGATGTAAATAAAAATAGAACATTTTTTACCCAAGGGTAGAATTGAGAAAAAATACTTTTACCAAAAAATAAAAAGTGCTCCTAATAATTTGGATATTTGGAAATCAGTTAATATAAATAGATTAAATAGAAACACTGAAGATATATTTTTGAGTCCCATATTGGTATTTTCTGTGCACTATGAATTTTAACACAGCTGGGCATTTCATGATAAAAATGCTAAAATAATTTGTCAGCTTCCAAGGTTTCAGAAATGCCAAGTCAAGAATGTTTACTTCACACATAATATTTATTAGGGCAAGCATCTTAAGTAACTTTGGAAATAATATATTTAGTTTTGGTATCTTTGTTTTTATAGTGACTAAGCCAATAATTTTGTTGATTATTTCAAAGTTTTCAATGAAAGTCTTCAAATGACAGTACTCTTAAAAGCTGGAGTGATTTTAAACGCAGAAAGATTATCTAAGGCCTACTTAGCTTAAAGGTGTGCTCTTCATGTTGAAATAAAAGCAAAACAAGTAAGACTTCATTTACTGTAAAAGACACACAGGTCCTTCTACGTAAACTAGTGTTTCATACATATCAGAAATGTTTCTTTTTGTTTTGTTTTATTTCTACTATCAGATTCCAAGCACAATATCAAATTGTCCAAAGTTAGTCTGAATAACTGTGTAAGATGAATATACTGAACAGAAGGGTTGTTTATAGGATTTACATATACCTCTCAGTTCACAGAAAATGTGATTTTGTTACTATATATCCATTTCTACCATGGTTATTTTATTTTTGTAGCAGATTGAAATATCTGGAGTTTCAGCATGTTAGGATTTGCTGAGCAGTTGGCGTATTGGTTATAAAACACATTTTTCACAAATTTAAAATAATTTCACATGAAGCTGCCAATCTTTTTTAAATGTTGTTATTATTTAGTGAATAAAATGTAGGTGCAGATCCAACTTTTCAGAGATTTAATGGAAAACTGCTTTATATATAGGAGCAAACCATTTCAGCACTATACATTGACTGCGATAACAAGCATTGTGGGGCTATAGATATTCAGATTCTATCTGATGAAACCTTACAGTTTACTTACATCCTTTCCTTATAAAGTTTCAGTACCTATTTGATATGTGAATTACAATTCAGAATTGCTAATGTAAATGACACATGCCATGAAAGTTATTTCTTATGAAAAAAACAACTTCCTGCTAAGTCTGTTTTTTAAACTAGTCTTCTTTGAATTTAATTTGAAGTATGACAAATGTAAACTGATGTTATTGAAGTCTCTCAAGGCAATTTTAGCATTTTGCTTTTCATTTCTTCCTCTGTACCCTGAATAGAACCTTGCAGCAACATTTCTTAATGAAACTGGATGCAATTTAAAAGAAGATGAATACAATAGAAGAGTTGAAAAATCAGATATGCTTCTGTAGGCATCATGTCAACAGCAATCAGATTATTGTTACTGTCTGATTCAATTTGATAAGGAGAAAAGCTATAGAACCAACTTGTAGCTAGTAACTAAAAAGGTGGCATCTGATGGCTTCTATTTACTGAAAATATTCCCTATTAAAAATAGGCACAAATATCTATCAGAATTTATTACTAAAGCCAATGTTTCCTGGAAATTGGGCATTAATGTGTAGGATATGGAAACATATGTTAGAGGTACTGTGATTAAAATATATATGCATGTATGATTCTCTGACACACATTTATTAATGAAAAAATCAATAAACCAAACCAACAAATTAAATTATAGTCAAAGTTATTCATTCTTCTTTCATAGTCAGATTTACTAGTTAACATTTTTTTTTAACATTCTCTTAATTTGGTTGTCAGCCCAAAGATGTTTTACTTAGATATGGTGGAATAGTAATAAAAATTATTAAATGTATATTCTATCTCTGCAAATCCATTACCAAATGTCAGTCATAACATTATTTGGAAGTATATTTTATATAATGGCAACATATCTAACCAGGTTTCCACATGTACACAACTTAAAATTTTTTAGAAATCCCTACTCCATCCTTTTCATTGGAAATGCCTCCAATTGCTTCTTATTTTCATTCCCCCCCCCTTTTTTTCTTTCTTTACCTTTTTAACTTCTCCATGACTACCTTAAAAAATCCCTTTAGTCATTTTTGTGCAGTTAAAACATTCTCCATTCTTGCATGCATTTGAATTCTACATCCTAAGTAATTCAAGTCTTTATAATCCATTTGTGGAAAAAGGTTCTTTTATCCTTTTTGAGGGTATAAGACATTTACCAATGTGTTGGGAGCTCGACCGAGTGATATGAGGCCTGTGGTGAGGAGTGAAGCCTGAGCTAGATTGCCCCTCCCGTCGACCGAGTGATATGAGGCCTGTGGTGAGGAGTGAAGCCTGAGCTAGATTACCCCTCCCATCGAGTATGCCAAGATGGCGCCCATTTCCTGCTCCCTAGCTAGTAAACAACACGCCCTGTAAGCTAGTCTGCCCAGCAACAGCTGACGCTGGCCAATCAGCTCGTCTTGCCTACTTTGATGTGATTGGTCGATGTGTCCATATATATGCTGACACCACCCCTGGGGCGACAACACACACACCAAGAAGAGGGACTGCTGAGAGAAGCACACAAGGAGCCGTAGGGAACGGACCAGAGGAGGCTTCCCTCAGGCGGGATCCGAGATCCCGGAACAGGGCGTACGGAGAGAGAAAATAAATCAGAGGCTATCCGCCGACTACTCGTGTCGTGTGTTTTTTCCTGCCGGCCGGGATCGACACCGACATTTGGTGGCCCGTACGGGGAACTGATCACCCCCGAGGCGAGGCGGACGACGCTCCAGTATTGCTCTGCAGGACAGGTGAGTAGGGGATAAACCTGGGCTCTGGGTGGCGCGCACCTACAGGGCTTTTTAGACTCCCCTCAAGCTCACGTGTATGTGGCAGGTTAGCCTCACACGGTGAGAACGGACTCCTCAGTGACAGGCATGGGCAACTTACCCACTAAGAGTTCCAAGTCACTGGTAAGAGCGGTGAAAGACCTGCTCAAGATTTCAGGTATATCAATGAGCTCCAAGACACTTACGGAGTTTCTCCAACAAGTAGATGAGGCGGCACCCTGGTTCCTGCCGACGGGGCACTTGTCCCTACCTTGCTGGGAGAAATTAGGTAAGGATTTAGAAAGAGCAGAAGAGGAGCGCCGACTCCCACTTTCGGTTCGGCCGCTCTGGGAGATGATTCATTCATGCCTCAAAGGGGAGAGGAATGGGGCTAAGGATAGCGCAGATGGGCTCTCTCAGGCCCGCCGAGCTTTTGAAGGGGCCCGTTCGGAGTCCTCCCGAGAGGGGTCCGTCGCAGGGAGCGTGCGGAGGCGCTCGCGAGAGCGAGGCAAGAGAGAGGTACCCCCTGCCTCGGATTCCTCGGGCTCAGATACCTCGGAAGGCGAGGACAATGAGGCAAGTGACCCCCCTAATCCCTTTGCAGCTTTACGTAGAGACCTAGTCAAGATGCAGACAGACCTAGAGAAGGGAAGGAAACTCCTGAGCACTCCCCAACGGAAAGCCGTAGAGCCTTCCGCGCCACCCTGGGAGGTCCCAAACACCGGTTCCTGTGGTGAGAGGCACCACCCTGTGAAAAAATGCCAAGGTCCCAGGGAAGGTATTTTCGTAGATGGACATTTAGAATGGAACAGATTCCTCAAGGGGCGAATGAGTATGAACAATGTGGGCTTTATCCGGTGCTCCTAGCGCAAGGCCAAGGACCCAATTACTGGGAACCACTGGAGATCAAGCAAATTAAGGAGCTTAAAAATGCGGTTGCCACATTTGGCCCTACTGCTCCTTACACTATAACTATGTTGGAGAATTTGTCTGCCGGTGGCTTTCTGACGCCCAGTGATTGGACCCAACTGGCTAAAGCCTGCCTGGCCCCCGGGGCTTTTCTGGATTGGCGCGCCTGGTATACTGAGTTTGCCGCCGAACAGGCTGAAAAAAATGCGGCTAGGGGCCATAGGGGGCAAAATGAGGATATGCTTATGGGTAAGGGTCAGTACGCTCAAGATCAAACTAGATTCCCTCCAAATGTGTATGAACAGATACATAACATAGGCATCCGCGCCTGGAAGCAGGTAAACAACACAGGGGTGGCCTCACAATGCCTCTCTAAAATTGTTCAGGGCAACACAGAACCTTTTGTGGATTTTGTGGCCAGAATGCAGGAGGCAGCTGACAGACTCTTTTCAGATCCGAGTGCTGCTGCTCCTCTTATTAAACAGTTAATCTTCGAACAGTGCACCAAGGACTGCAGGGCAGCCATAGCACCCCATAAAGGTAAAAACATAGAGGCGTGGATTAAAATTTGTAGAGAAATAGGGGGGCCATTATCCAACTCAGGCGTGGCTGCCCTTTTAGCCGCCGCCTTACAACAGACAGGGCCTCAGAAGACCAATCACCCTGGTAAGCCCAGGGGATGTTTCCAGTGTGGGGATCCCAGCCATATAAGGAAAAACTGCCCCAAGACCGGACAGGGGGAGTTTATATCCAAGAGACAGGAATCAGACAGACGAACGGGAACCTGCGAAAGGTGCGGTAAAGGTTCTCACAAAGCAAAAGATTGCAGATCTATTTTTGATGCCCAGGGGAACCGTATTAGTGGCAGGGAGACTACGGAGCCAAAAAACGGCCAGAGGGGGCCCTCCTTACGGACGGGCCCCCACTCCCTAGACAGGACAACACAAGATGGCACCCCCCCACAGGGGCCACCCCCGGGCCAGCAGGCGTGGACCTCTGTGTCGCCTCCAGACTCCTATTAACACCCGATATGGGCGTTCAGGTGGTTGAAACCACCTCCAAGGGACCACTACCCGACAAGCTAGTTGGCTTAGTGATTGGACAGTCCTCCACAGCCCTCCGGGGCCTTACCGTGATCCCTGGAGTTGTAGACCCAGATTATTTAGGAAACATCAAAATCATGGTACAATCTCATATAGGGACCATAGTAATTGATGAAGGGGATAAGATAGCACAACTTTTACTGTTCCCCAGTCTCCATGAGAGACCCCGGTCCGGTCAACGGGTTAGAGGGGGTCAGGGACTTGGCTCCTCTAAGGAAATTTTTGAAGGGCTTCATATGACTCTTGATAAAAGGCCCATGCTATCGCTCAGGATTAACGGAAAAAAGATAACAGGACTCCTAGATACAGGGGCAGACCGTTCCATCGTCTCCAAGAAAGACTGGCCCCCTAGTTGGCCTACCAACACAGCTGACAACACACTCCAAGGATTGGGGATAGTGGCTGCCCCCCAGGTTAGTGCCGTGACCCTGCCTTGGGGTGATGAGGAAGGTCACCGAGGACATTTTCAACCTTTTGTCTTGCAGCTGCCAGTATCCTTGTGGGGAAGAGACGTTCTCACCCAGATGGATGTCACTCTTACATCCACCTGCTCTCCCCAAGCCAAAGGGATACTCAAAAATCAGGGATATGTCCCCGGCAAGGGCCTGGGCGCAGCCCTGCAGGGCCGGACATCCCCCGTACCTGTAGAAAAAAGGGAAGGTAGACACGGGTTGGGTTTTTCCTAGGGGTCACTGAGAAACTTCTCCTGCCCGCTCCAATTAAGATCACCTGGAAATCTCAAAATCCAGTTTGGGTGCCTCAGTGGCCCTTACCCAAGGAGAAGCTTTTAGCATTAACTGAGATAGTCAAAACCCAGTTTCAGGCGGGACACGTAAAGCCGTCAACCTCCCCTTGGAATACCCCTGTCTTTGTTATCAGGAAAAAATCAGGCAAGTGGAGGCTGCTCCATGATCTGAGGGCTGTCAACTCACAGATGCAGCCCCTGGGGGCGATCCAGAGGGGACTACCAGCCCTCTCAGCCATCCCTCGGTCCTGGCCAGTTTATGCCATAGATCTTAGAGACTGTTTTTTCTCAATCCCCCTGCATCCAGAGGACACCCACAGATTCGCCTTTACCCTACCCACCATTAACCAAGAAAGTCCTGATCAGAGATACGAGTGGGTTACATTACCCCAGGGTATGGCCAACAGTCCCACCATGTGTCAGATGTATCTTGATTTTCTACTGGCCCCCTTGCGTGAAGCCTTCCCCAAAATTAGATGTATTCATTACATGGATGATTTGCTAATCAGTGCAAAAGATGTGACTGAGTTGGAGGATATGCTTGGCCAATTGGTCAGGGCCCTGAGAAAGGCAAATTTACATATTGCCCCTGACAAGATTCAGGGAGGAGACATAGTGACCTACCTGGGCACCAAAGTCTCCCCCACATCGATTTCTCCACAAAAGGTAACCATCAGAACAGATAGCCTAAGGACCTTGAATGACATGCAAAAGCTACTGGGAGATATAAACTGGATCAGACCTTATTTACACATCCCTAACTCGGACTTAAAGCCCCTGTTCGACCTCCTGAAAGGAGACCCGGATATTGCCTCCCCCAGGGAGTTCACCCCGGAAGCCAGAGTTGCTCTGAGAAAGATAGAGGAAGCCCTAAGTACAGCTGCATTGCGGAGAATTGACTCAGAACAGCCTTTTGAGGTCTGCTTGTTGCAGACCGTTTCTCAACCTACGGCAGTGATTTGGCAAAAGGGACCACTTTTGTGGGTGCACCCTAAGGTCTCACCTGCCAAGATTATCGAACATTATCCGGAAACGGTCGCTTCCCTGGCCTTGGAGGCACATGGCAGGGCTATCCAACATTTTGGCTCTGCACCCCATGCTATTCGGGTACCTTATACCGCTTCTCAAATAAAAATCCTGACTGCTTGTATAGATACGTGGGCCATCCTGAGATGTGTTTTTCTTGGGGAGATAGACAACCAGTTCCCCAGGGACCCCATACTACAGTTTGTTACTCAACATCCGGTGATATTTCCAAAAATCACCGCGTCCACACCACTTACTCCTGCAACAACGATCTATACGGACGGGTCAAAAACCGGGATAGGGGCTTATGTGGTCTCAGGTATGCCTCCGATTAGCATACAATTTGAACCAGATCAACCACAGGTGGTAGAGTTACAAATTGTACAAACCGTCCTCGAGAAGTTCCCAGGGGCCCTTAATATTGTTTCTGATTCAAAATACGTTGTTAATGCCATGCAGGTCCTTGAGACTGCGGGCCCGATTAGGCCAACCTCCAAAGTGACTAATTTGTTTTTGTCTATCCAGACTCTGCTGATAAATAGACACAACAAAATATACATCACTCACATAAGAGCACATACGCGCCTGCCAGGGCCCATGGTACAGGGCAATGCGGCAGCTGACGTGGCCACTCGCCCGTTGTGGATACTCAATATGTTATCTTCAATAGAACAAGCCCGTCTGTTTCATGACAGATTTCATGTCAACGCCAGGACGTTAGCCAACCAGTACCACATTTCCAGGGCTGACGCGCGGGACATCGTACGGTTATGCGGCTCTTGCGCCACATACACACCCGTCGTATCAACGGGAGTTAACCCCAGGGGATTGATTCCTGGCGACACTTGGCAAATGGATGTCACACATATGATAGAATTCGGATCTCTTAAATATGTTCATGTCTCTACGGACACCTGCTCTCATATTATATTTGCGACTGCTGAAACTGGCGAAAAGGTGTCTCATGTAATCAATCATTGCCTGACAGCTTGGGCCGCATGGGACAAACCAAAAATATTAAAAACTGATAATGGACCAGCTTATACAAGCAGAGCCTTTAATGAGTTCTGTGAAAAAATGGGGGTACAGTTAAAACATGGCATCCCATACAATCCCCAAGGTCAAGGAATTATTGAAAGGGCTCATAGGAGCCTTAAAGATATTCTACAAAAACAAAAAGGGGGAATAAGTCAGGGCCTGCCCCCAAAGGCACGGCTCTCCATGGCACTGTTCACATACAATTTTCTGAACCTGAATAACAACAATCACTCCCCGGCCATGGAACATTGTAATCCATCTCCTGGCAATAGGGGATGGGTGAAATGGAAAGATGTCCTGACGGGACAATGGATGGGCCCGGATCCAGTAGTTAGCTGGAACCGAGGTGCGGTTTGTGTTTTCCCGCAGGAACCAGGACGAGAACCATTGTGGGTCCCAGAACGGCTGACGCGTGTGGCGAATCCAACGAAACATAATGCAGGAGACACTCCAAAACTCAACGGCAGCGGACAGCCTAATCAAGATCGGTCCGACCAGGATATTGCTGCTCGACCGAGGAATACCGTATGACTTATGGGACACAGTAATGATTATGCTCTCGATAGTAATTGGCTCTCTTTTAGGGTACGGTGCAGCCAGAGTGGCTAGGCCACGCCGCCTTCCGGCAGCCCCCTTCCTTCTGGTTTTGATGCTCACCACCACTACTGAAATAGGAGCAGACTTGGTGTGGGCAGCAATACATCATCCGCCAGCGCTAGCCGCTATCTCCACCACAGCCCCCTCTCTCCCAAAGTTGTATGCAAAAAACTGCTCCGCCAGATTGCCTTGCATACCAGATATACCGTTAACCATCAGACCCATACGTTTTGACCTTCCCATCACCAATGACGTGGTCATTTTTTCCACTAATAGTAACCCCTCGTGTCACCGGGGATCCTGCGTTAGCTTCCTGCCCCTCCTTGTAAAATGGTACAATACCTCCCTGACGGTGAGGTTGTCTGTCCCATCCCTGCATTCGCCTGGATGTTTTAAAGCTGGCACACTTAGCGGCGGAGTCATCACTTTTAACTCAACCTGCAAACCCCGAGCAGCCATGCACACCCGTCCCGATTTCCCCACATGCCCATACCGTGTGTCCCCAAGCCGAAAAAGACAGATGGTGGACCTGTCACAACTTTCATGGCAGCCCTGTACTGTCGACGGCGTGGGAGTGACTCATCTAAACATGTCTTGGTGGTCCCGGTTCTCTCCTCCATCCGGTAGTAACAACATATTCGCGTTGACCTGGTGGGAGTCCTACCTGAGAGTGAACAACAAGTGGGCAATAAGCTTCCCCTTCCCCCTTAATGAAAATTGGTTGTGCCTCTCCACCGGAGCCTGCATGGACTTAAGACCCATGCTCGCTATTAACGCTTCTGCCTCTAATGGAACCACCAATGTCACCCTTAATTCTGAGGCTGCATGCGTAAAACCGCCCTACTTATGGGTATTCTCTGCTGACATCTCCTTTAAGTGCAGTAACCAACCATGCTTTACAGGGAACTGCTGGAATGGGTCTTTCCCGTATGCTATGTTGGCTCTTCGACCCCCACTGATGTGGGTTCCCTTTAACGAATCTGTTTGGGTTCATCCCGTCTATCAGCAGGACCAACTACCCATGCTCAGACGTAAGAGAGATTTTGGGATCACAGCGGCCCTGACAGCACTGTTCGTGACTCTGACTGCGACGGCTGTGACGGCTGCCGTTGCTCTGACCCAGTCTACGCTGACGGCTCAGGCCTTTACCAATCTTACGGACACCACCTCCCTGGCGCTGAGGGAGCAACAAGAAGTCAACCTCCTCCAGCACAACGCCATAATGGCGTTACAGCAGCAGATCGACCTAATCGCTCAGGAAGTCCAGGGACTCTGGGAGGTGGCTAACAATTTATGTGACGCCAGATGGGCATTCACTCAGTTGTGCGTTACCCCCATCCAGGTCAACCGTTCGGCTTACAGGCAATTTCAGGATTATGTTCTCACCACCTATAATTCTTCCTTTTGGAACGCTAGCGTGCGCCTGGATATGACTATCCGGCAGCTAGATCAGATAGAGGTGCCTATACTTACAGCCTCCTTTTTTGATGATGTCCTAAGCCAGATAGGCTCCTTCTTCAAACCTTCGTCACTTCTTGCGTATGGGATCATTCTTGCTCTTGTGATTGTCACTCTCGTGACTCTTAGGTGCCTGCGGTCGATAAGGGCGACCCAAAAGACACATATGACATTGATGATGTTGCTGGCCCAGAGTCAAGGGGATTCCACACCTAGCGTTTTCTGGGCTCAGGCTAGAAAGGCACGGCTCCTTTAACCAGTACGTGGCTGCCCTCGCCATTATTCTTACGGATGTTCTAGTATTATTACGTACGTCTCCTTCCCCGTCGCGGCTGCGAACTTAGACTAGAAGGACCCCACGCTTAAGGCGTGTTCCCATTGATAATTAGAAAATAGTAATTAGTGATTGTAGTGAACGGGGATTATGGTTGGTAATTAGTGATTACGCGGTTCCTCAAATGTCACTCGGCTGACCCCTCCGTGTCTCCCCCAAGATATAAGCTTTAAGAGTTGAGTGGGCAAGCCAACGACGGGTAAGACGGGAGAAGTTCTCCTGATCAACCTAAGACAGGCTCTACTCCGAGGGTCCTCTAGGGAGTGAGAGTTATGGCATTGAGATGCGAGACCAAGGGTACTGCAGTGCCATCCGCCTCGAGGGTTGAGGGGAAGGCAGGAATGAATGTCTATATGCATCCAGGTTCGGTTCACAAAAGCCTGGCCCTGCGAAAAAATGAACCACTCACCTTGAGCATGGTCCTGGCGCAAGGATATGTACGAGACAAGGTGATGCACAGCAGGGTATAGACCTCTACATTCTCTCATGCCTCGGCCTGCGAAATAGGCCCACTCCCAGACACCTCACATGGACCCACAGACCACACTATCTTAATAAATAAAGAAGGGGGAGATGTTGGGAGCTCGACCGAGTGATATGAGGCCTGTGGTGAGGAGTGAAGCCTGAGCTAGATTGCCCCTCCCGTCGACCGAGTGATATGAGGCCTGTGGTGAGGAGTGAAGCCTGAGCTAGATTACCCCTCCCATCGAGTATGCCAAGATGGCGCCCATTTCCTGCTCCCTAGCTAGTAAACAACACGCCCTGTAAGCTAGTCTGCCCAGCAACAGCTGACGCTGGCCAATCAGCTCGTCTTGCCTACTTTGATGTGATTGGTCGATGTGTCCATATATATGCTGACACCACCCCTGGGGCGACAACACACACACCAAGAAGAGGGACTGCTGAGAGAAGCACACAAGGAGCCGTAGGGAACGGACCAGAGGAGGCTTCCCTCAGGCGGGATCCGAGATCCCGGAACAGGGCGTACGGAGAGAGAAAATAAATCAGAGGCTATCCGCCGACTACTCGTGTCGTGTGTTTTTTCCTGCCGGCCGGGATCGACACCGACACCAATGTGCTCAAAGATCTTTCCAGGTTTCTGCAGCAAATTATTAAACTTTTAGAGCTTTTGTGAACCAGATGTTAAGTGTTATAATATTAATAGGAATTAAAATATATGACCATAATGAAGTAAATTGTATTAAAACATGGGCAATAAGTACTCAGGATTTACTTGCTCCTTTCTAGTGATTTTACTATGTGTGCTATTATTTATCCTATTTAGGTAATTCACACATGTTGCATCAGGGTAGTGTGAATAGACAATGATACACTTCTATGCATAACTTCTCAACTCCATATTTGATAGTGTCAAGTTCCTGATGCCATCTTCAGAGAGAGTATTTAAGTTCTAAGTGTTTAACAGTCAGTTTTCAAAAAAAAAAAAAAAGCTGATTTCTAGCTTGTGTCAATTACTGTAACATAAACATCCCCACTGTGGCTGAACCACCTGTAAGACTTCTGAAATTTTAACAATTTTATCTGGGCAGAAGATTGGAGTTGGCTCCAGAATACTACTATACTTTAATGCCAGAGATAATAAAATTGGTAATTATTATAAATTGTGTTTCTTTTTATTGCTTTTTGTGTGTGTCTTTTTGAAATCAATTGTTAGGTATCTGCAAGCATAGCACAGTCTCAGGTCAACTTCCAAGGCCACCATGTGTAGCATTTCTCCATTTCTGCTCTTGAACCAAGGTGGTCTTCAAATCCTAAGATACTGCTTAATGGCAATATGTGTTTCTATCTGGCTTGCAATCTGTGTTTTGTATTTTCCTGGAACTAAGAATGTTTTCACATTTTTAAAAAGATAGAAAATCAAACAAAGAAAAAATATATGAAGAGATGACACATATTCTACAAATTTTCGAGTGTTTACTGTATGATTAAAGAAAAATTTTGCAGCTCCTAATCTAAATTCACAGGTGTTATTCCAGAAATTCAAATTTCCAGTTTTTGTTCTTACATTGTTGCCTGAGCTATAATTTTTGTAATTTTCACAAACATCAGTGAGTCTACGTGCACAATAGTAGATCAAAATTGTCTCACATTTGAGGATGGTTATCAGTTAATGTGTCTGCACTGTTTATTACAGCTTCAAACTCAATCTCTATAAAATTCTTAACTATTCTGTCAATAGTATAAAGGTAGAAATAAACTGAAAATTCAATTTTAAAAGTATTTAGATCTGTGCTCCAACATGGATTAATTTACAGAGAGAATGAAAGTATAAAGAAGGGAAAAAGCATTAGAAGGGTCTCATGAAGGAAAATGCTTGCTCTCTTTTCTGCTTTCTAGTATAACCACTCACTAAATAGATCCTTCTATTTAGCAGCAAATTAGCTCTATTTTAGTGATAATAGAGATATCTATTTAGTGTTAGACCTAGTGATGAGTCTAGGCTTTTGCATCAACAATGACAGTAATTTTTTCATGATTTCAAAATAACAAAATATCTTTCCAAAACCCTTCCTCTGTGACTGAATATGTTGAGAGTCAAACTATTTGCTTCATGACCAATAGAATGAAGTTGAATGAAATAAAAATTCCTTGTTTTTAGAGATTTAAAATATCAATTTATAAAAAAGATCATACAATCTATGCACATGCTCATTCATATATATATATATATATATATATATATATAATATGCATTTATGCAAATCTGTCCTTAGTCTCTCCATTTGTCATACTGTTATTCCTGAGTTTCTTTTTTTTATTTCATTTTATTTTGAAAGTAGTAAAAATGCAACAGCACAAGACAGAACAAAGCCAGTCGAGAAAATGCAGTGAAATTGGCACAGGATTGCACAATAGGTTTCTGGGATAATAGTAATAGGTACTATGGTATACCTCCTTAACTTCACAATAGTTGTCCAGTCAATTAGGTATAGCAAAATCAAAACAAAAATAGAACATTATAAAACCAATTGAGGGTACTGAATAGAGCAAAAGAAACATAACAAAACAAAACAGTGAAAACAACCTTTGACTTCAAACAGAAGATAGAAGGAAATCCCCCATATTTGCTATACTGCATATAGTCATCCTTCCAAGAGATGCTGAGACATCTATCCCCAGTAGCTATGGGGGCGGGGCGGGGAAAAAGTGCTTTATTTTCAGCCCACATGGCAGTAGGCCTCTCAGGTAATGGTTCTCCTCCAGGCCCCCGCCACAGGCACTTATCAGAAGAAAGGGAAGATGAATTAGCTGCCTAACTCCCACCATGGCCGGATCTTGGGGGCTGTGATTCTCTTCCTGGCCTCACTGCAGGCGCTTACCAAGAGGGCAGGTGAATAAGCTGCCCAAGTTTCTTAACTTAAAGTAATTTTGTTCCTTTTATTTCTTGAAATCCAACAACTCATTTTTGAATAGTTAGCAATGTACTTGTTAAGAATGACTCAATTATACAGTCTAGTAAATGTCACTAAGATTTTGACTTAAAATATATTGTATTTCCTTTAACATACAGAAAATAATAACTATCTTGAATCCCCTTATCAAGTATCTACAGAAAAAATATACTGTACTTTATAAAAGGTACATGAAGAAAGGATACACTAAGAGATTCTGTTAATTCATTATATATTTTTAAAATTTGTGGGCTTTTCCTTTCTTTTGAGAATTTTCAAATACAAGGTCAATGTGCTTTTTTCTAAATTTGCCCAAATTATTGGAAAAATTACTTTGGAGGGGAGCAAAGGGGAGGGTGGCTGCGATGGACATTGATTGATGTTCACAGCATTTCCTTCTTCCACCCCATTAATTTTAGACAACCCCTAACAGCATTTGCACCTCAGTAAATTGTGCTCCTATTGAGTCTTCCAGGGACTGCGGAGGCACTCCGCTTCTGAAAGTGTTCACCAGAGGGTGACATGTCATTGTGCACTCTGACACATAGTAGAATTTAATTTTCAATCAACACAAAATGCTTGTCTTAAAGTGCTGACAAATCTCACTCATTTTCATAGATTTTCAAGTGTTTCTCTACTTATTCACCGTCGTTCTTAAAATATATTCAGGAAAGGAATATTCTCTGTCGGCGCCTTCACTTCTTGTTCAAACAAGGTGAGATTTTCCTTGAAGTGCTATAACGTTGCATCTGTCCTGAAAGAAGAATTTTCTGTGCTCATATGCTTCCCATCCTCAAAACTCTGCTATCAGGGATTTAGAATGGTTTGAAAGTCAACCTAAATAATGTTTAAAAATCATGTGACTTTTAATATTTCATGTTGTTTTAAGCGTATTTATATCTTCTCAAATGGATTTTTCCTTATTTGAATGTCAACTATGACTTAGCTATTTGTGATCTGCCCACATGTGAAAACTTGTAGTAGACATTAATGTAACACATGCATGTGCATGAATGAAGTTGCCTGATTATCCTAAAATACTCCATTTAACAAATCTCGTGTGATCATTTTAATATTTTGAAAAAGTATCTGAGATAGGGCTGGTGCTGATGCATCATATTCTTAATATTATCATTCTGGTACTTATTTTAATTCTTGTCAGTTATAATTTTAAACTTTTGCAAATAATATATACATGGACATTACAAGTAATATTTTTCAGTATGTTTATACAGTTCTCTTCACACAATATTGACACGTCCATACACACAAACACATAAAGATAATTATTTTGAAAACCACTTGATTGGCCATAGTCTCAAGTATGTATTTAAACAATACTAAATGAAGCATTACAAAGGAATTTCTTTCTTTTAAGAAGTAGTAGTAACATAAGCCTCTAACCATAAACAAAACATCTATCTATCTTTCTATCTATCTATGTATCTATCTATCTATATAGATAAATCATATTTAGAGATATGAATATACCTACTTGAATACCATTAT